CTTTTGAATCAAAAGAACCACACTCAAAAGGAATAGAAGGATTGGCACACCAATTGCAAAAGAGCAACTAGATCCAAAAAAGGTATGTGACATCTATTTTATCCTTTAATTTTGTGTTTCTGTTGTGTTTGGGATTCATTGAGGAATTCTATTAATCTTCATGATCTGATGGCTCTTTTAGATCAGGCGTAGATAATACATAATCCTTGTGAATAATTAAACACATTATACATCAAATCCCACGACAGTCAGTACTACAAAGTAAGGTGCATCTCAAAATCTTACCTACTATAGATGTTGAGAAGCCTCAAATTAATCATCTCGATCTTGATATGTATGGATATGAAAAAACATAAGAATCTCAAAACTTAAAAAAAATAAAAAATAAAAAATAAAAACTAAAATAAAATTGTAACATATTATATGGGCTGTCTATTTTTAAAATTGTTAAATATTTATAGTTATGCTTGATCCACACTATTTTTCAGCTTTAAATTTTATAATTAAGAGTGACAATATTTTTTCACGCTTTTATAAGGATTTCCAATACCATGTTATCGTGGAGTTCATAAGTAAGCCTTGGTTTTAATATTCAATATTCTGACACCTTGTGTAAACCTCACCTGTCTTTAAGGGGTGGTATCTATTACATGAAAATAAATTATACGGACAACTTGGGTATATTTAATGGTAAGGAAAATGGAGAAAGATTACCAGATATTTCCAAAAAAATAAAGAAATCTATTACGTGTCGTGAAGGGTGAAATTTTAGGAAATCTTTTGATCGCCTATCTATTTTAGCTTCCCAAAAATCCCAAGATTCACCTTTTAATAAACCACAATAAAAAAATCTTCAACTAAAACGTGGTACTCTATCTTATCCAAGATTTATTTTTTGGTTTCTGCCTAACGTGGTAGCTCTATCTTATCCAACATTTATTTTTTTGGGTATTTTTTTGGGTTCTGTCTCTAATCACATTTTTTACTACCACAGCGGAGTGATCTCTATAAAAAAAAGAAGAGAATAAGAGTACAAAAAAAAAAAAAAATCACAAAACCATGAGAAATCCACTTCCCAAAGTTTATTCACCAAAAGTTCTCTGATAACATAACAATCTAACTCCCTCCCCTAAACACCGTGAGAGAATTTACCCTCTCTCTTAGTCTAAGAGGGAATCCACCCTGTCCTCTAGTGTTGACATGGGTTAAAGTGTAACAAGTGTCGACACGTGATTCCCATGCAGACAAAGGGGTGATTCACTCACTCCTCAGGTTCCACCCTCTCTGTGATTACTTCTTTATATGGTTTAGAAGCGTTTTTGGGCATAAACGGTTCGAATGTCATGATCCCCATCATAAGCAGGAGTATATTAAATATGAAGAAAACCATTGAATCGCCTGCACAAACAAAGGAAGAACATTTGCACAATATATTACCAAAATTAATTGGAAAATATGGTTTACTAGTTTGTCATATTGGCTTGTACATTGTTATTCAAGGCAATATTGGGACTTGAAATATAATTATTTTCCCTGCTTTAGTCTAGAAGATATGTTTTTGTACAGGTAAGATTTGTAAGATTCATGCTCTTTCAAGTGGTTAAGGTCCAAGAGCCACTACATTCCTGGGACCATATATTGGTCAGGAGACTTATTTGGGAGGATTTTTTCAGTCTGAAAATTGGGGTACCACCTAAACATCACTTGATGATCGTTTTAAAAACAATCAGTATTTTTTTTTTTTTTTTTTTTTCTTGAAGTTTGAGTTCTCTGATCTCATCCCACAAAAATTTAATGGCCTCTGTTTGGTCTTGAGATACTATTTTTTTAGAGTGATTTATGTACGGACTTTAAAATTTTAGGTAAAATATGAAATGCATATGTGGAAATTATAAAGAAGATCGGTCAACCCTTTTTATTATTTTTTTTAAAATTACCCCTCAATCAACAAAAAATTTGATTTTTTTTTTTTTTAGTTTTTTCGTTAGTAAGGCAGTGCTTTAAAGCTTGGAGCACTGCCCTACAAATAAAAAAACCAAAAAAAAACTAAAAAGGATAATCAAAATTCAAGTTGACCGTAGGGCAATTTTAAAAAAATAATTGTGGGTTGATTGATCTTATTTGTAATTTCCGATTTTTATTTTACCTAAAACTTTAGGATCCATACATAAATCACACTTTTTTTTTAAGTGCATTGACAGTGCATTTGGGGAAAAAACAATTCATTGAGCTTAGTCACTTGGCTGAGAAGGTTGCATCCCCAAAATTGGGCTCCGAGATTGGGTTTCACACGACGGAAAATATGATCCTGCTAGAATATGAAATATTTTGTCATGATAGAATTAGGGGTGGCAATGGACCTAGACCTGATGCTTGACCCAAGGGTAGACCTAATATGAGTCCGGGTATGGGTTCAAAAATTGGACCAGGCGGGTTGGATTCGGGTCCGGTAATATTTTTCGGGTTCAAACATATGAAATATATTTAGATATAGTTAAATACATAACCATTTTAATTTGTAGGTCGGGTCTAGGTCCCACATTATATTTTTGGGTCCGGGTCCGGGTCCGGCCCGACCTGTTGTCACCCCTAGATAGAATTCGGAGGTCCCCAGGATGTTTTTAAGCTAAAGTAGATAAAAAAAAGCAAGAAAATTTCGTTATGATAAGTTTAAAAAAATAAAAAGGTATTTTATTTTAGGAAAAAGTTTATATAGAGCCGAGGCTTTAAACAATCAAATTAGAGCCCACCACAAAAATTTCAAGAGTTGTTTTGATACCCAAATATCCTCAAATTGATCATCAAGATGCATAGACATAAGAAAAAAAATATATTTCCAGTTTTGGAAATAATGCATCTTGTAACGTATTTTTGGATCGTCAATTTTCAAAATTTTCAAGTTTTCATAGATCCGAGCGATCTACATTATTTTTTAAGCTTTAAATTTTATAATTAAATATAAAAATATATTTTAAGGCTAATACAAAGATTTTCAGAATTAAAGCCACATTTCTCGAAACTATTTGAAGGTGTGCTTTACTTTGATTGTTTAGATCGTCGGCCCTATACAAAGCACACTCTTTATTTTAAGAACACTGTGTATCGGTTAGGCTTGAGCACTAACCAACGTTTTTAAAGCGGCTTGTCTCATCAAAATTTATATTTTACTTTTTATATGTATTTGAAAACTTGGCTGAGTGATTCTGAGTAGTTTTGCTTTGGGGGTTGTAAAATATTTATAATGGCCTGACAATTCGTTTTCGTCTCTGATTATAAAATTTGAAACTCTAAAAAATGGTTCAAACCAAGTAGATTTATAAACACATAAAAATCTAAAAAATGCACAGTCCAGATAATACATTGCAAGATGCATAATTTTTTGGATTTAATTATACATATATATATATATATATCGATGTCAAGATGATCAATTAGAGAGTTTTTCAACATCAAAACAGCC